CCCCATCAAACACTCCCAGGACAGGGACAGCACGGGGTTAGATACAGAGTAAAGCTCCCTCTACTCTTTTCGCCAGAAAGTAAAGCTGCTTGGACTCTTTTTAAACTGAAAGTAAAACTTCCTTAACATTGTCCCCACGAAACATACCCAGCACAGGGTTAGATAGAGCAGAAAGATCCCTCTACTCTTTTAAACTGAAAGTAAAATGAAACTAAAAGATCCCTTAAAACTATCCACATCAAACTCCCCCCAGGATAGGGACAGCACAGGGTTAGATATAGAGTAAAGCTCCCTCTACACTGTCCCCCATCAAACACTCCCAGGACAGGGACAGCACGGGGTTACATACAGAGTAAAGCTCCCTCTACACTGTCCCCCATCAAACACTCCCAGGACAGGGACAGCACGGGGTTAGATACAGAGTAAAGCTCCCTCTACACTGTCCCCTATCAAACACTCCCAGGACAGGGACAGCACGGGGGTTAGATACAGAGTAAAGCTCCCTCTACACTGTCCCCCATCAAACTCCCCCCAGGACAGGGACAGCATGGGCTTAGATACAGAGTAAAGCTCCCTCTACACTGTCCCCCATCAAACACTCCCAGGACAGGGACAGCACGGGGGTTAGATACAGAGTAAAGCTCCCTCTACTGTCCTCCATCAAACACTCCCCAGGGACAGGGACAGCACGGGGTTAGATACAGAGTAAAGCTCCCTCTACACTGTCCCTCCATCAAATGGGTTAGATACAGAGTAAAGCTCCTTCTACACTGTCCCCCCAACAAACATTCCCAGGACAGGGACAGCACGGGGGTTAGATACAGAGTAAAGCTTCCTCTACTGTCCTCCATCAAACACTCCCCAGGGACAGGGACAGCACGGGGTTAGATACAGAGTAAATCTCTCTCTACACTGTCCCCCATCAAACACTCCCAGGGCAGGGACAGCACGGGGTTAGATACAGAGTAAAGCTCCCTCTACACTGTCCCCCCCCATCAAACACTCCCAAGGACAGGGACAGCACGGGGTTAGATACAGAGTAAATTTCTCTCTACACTGTCCCTCATCAAACACTCCCAAGGACAGGGACAGCACGGGGTTAGATACAGAGTAAATCTCTCTCTACACTGTCCTCCATCAAACACTCCCAGGACAGGGACAGCATGAGGTTAGATACAGAGTAAATCTCTCTCTACACTGTCCCCCCATCAAACACTCCCAGGACAGGGACAGCACGGGGTTAGATACAGAGTAAATCTCTCTCTACACTGTCCCCCCCATCAAACACTCCCAGGGACAGGGACAGCACAGGGTTAGAAGCAGAGTAAATTTCTCTCTACACTGTGCCCCCCATCAAACACTGCCAGGGACAGGGATAGCATTAATTACAGGTTAAGCATTTTGACAGTTCCATGTCAAATTGAGACTGCAAGTTTCACTGTTGCACAGAAATGTTTGTGACCATCACATCATTAGCTAATGTTCATTCTCAAACTAAACCCAAAGGAATAAAAGGGACTGTGTCTTATTCTTCACAAAGCAATAAAAGTCACCATTGCCTCACTGGACAGAAAGAGAGAGTCGCTTTAACTGGAGGGTCCAGTGGTTGCAGAAGAGAATCAGATGGTGCAGGATTTGAACCCACGCTGATGGCCTCACTAATACATTGCACACTAGCTGTCCAGCCAGCTGAGCTGTACTGTACAGACCACTCAATACCAGAGCACAGCTCCCTTTAAGGAGGCACTGTATTGGGTGGGTGTATAGTGTAAGACAGCTGCAGACCCAATGGCTTCAAACAGGATTGTTGGTTGTACCTGAAATCTTCCAGCTGGCTGTATATCTCCACAGCAGTGACTTTCTGCATATCTTTAACAATCTTTTTCACACCTTCGTCGCAAAGCAGATCAGGACGGCAGCGGTCTGTAACACATAAACACATTCAATTTCATACACAGCGCAGCTTTAGAGAGGTTTCGGGGAGGCCATTCAGCCCATCGCACCGGTTACACAGGAACGGGGGAGGCCATTCAGTCCATCACACCAATCACACAGGAACAGGGGGAGGCCATTCAGCCCATCGCACCAATTACACAGGAACAGAGGGAGGCCATTCAGCCCATCGCACCAGTTACACAGGAACGGGGGAGGCCATTCAGTCCATCGCACCAATCACACAGGAACAGGGGGAGGCCATTCAGCCCATCGCACCAATCACACAGCAGCAGGGGGAGGCCATTCAGTCCATCGCACCAATTACACGGCAACAGAGGGAGGCCATTCAGTCCATCGCACCAATCACACAGCAGCAGGGGGAGGCCATTCAGTCCATCGCACCAATTACACGGCAACAGAGGGAGGCCATTCAGTCCATCGCACCAATTACACGGCAACAGAGGGAGGCCATTCAGTCCATCGCACCAATTACACAGGAACAGAGGGAGGCCATTCAGTCCATCACACCAATTACACAACAACAGGAGGGAGGCCATTCAGTCCATCGCACCAATTACACAGCAACAGGAGGGGGCCATTCAGTCCATCGCACCAATTACACAGGAACAGGAGGGGGCCATTCAGTCCATCGCACCAATTACACAGGAACAGGGGAAGCCATTCAGCCCATCACACAGGAACAGGGAGAGGCCATTCGAGCACTCAAGCCTGGCCCATCACCTCATGGCTGCTCTGTATCTCAACTCCATTTTCCTGCCTTTGCTCCATATCGCATAATGTTGTTGCTCAGCAACAACGTACTGATCTCAACCCGAAATGACTCCAGCCAAAACCATAAGTTTTAGAAAGGCCTGGCTCTGATTTTAACTTTCTGTCTCTCCCCATCGTGAGGCGAAACAGCTTCTCTTTATTGAACGTTTTAATCGTCTTAAATGACCTGATTGGATCAGCCCTTAATCCTGCAAGCCGACTTCATCTTTGAAAACTGCTCCCTGGATCAAGTCTCTGCCAGTAAGTGGGGAAAATCCTCTCTATGTCCACTCTGTTTAGGTCCCCTCCATCCCATATCTGCTTCGATAAGGTCACCTCTCATTCTTCTAAGCTCCCCTAAGCACAGACCCAAACTACTGGAGCTTTAAGATTAGCCTTTCAACCCAGCAATCAGACAGGGGAGATAACACAGCGTGGAGCTGGACGAACACAGCAGGCCAGGCAGCATCAGAGGAGCAGGAAAGCTGACATTTCGGGTCAGGACCCTTCTTCAGAAAATCAAATCTGCACAACACTCATTTTCTGAAGAAGGGTCCCAACCTGAAACGTCAGCTTTCCTGCTCCTCTCATGCTGCCTGGCCTGCTGTGTTCCTCCAGCTCCACACTGTGTTATCTCTGACTCCAGCATCAGCAGTTCTTGCTATCTCTGAATCAGACGGGTGGATGGGGTCTGAACGGCTTCTGTTATCATAATCTTTCATAAGAGGGAGGAGGAAGTCAATCACAGAGCACTGGACCCACACCCACACAAAAAGCCCACCTCCTCTCCATTCAGGAAGCATTGATCCAATATCCCCGCACACAAAGCCTACCACAGAGACTGGGCATGGTTAGAACTTAGGGTCATACAGCACGGAAACAGACCCTTCAGTCAAATTCGTTTGCGCTGAGCAGGTCTGCCAAACGAATCCCACTTGCCTGCGTTTGGCCCATATCCCTCCAAACCTTTCCTATTCATCTATCTGTCCAAATACCTTTGAAATGCTGTAACTGTGCCAGCATCTACCATTTCCTCTGGCAGCTCATTCCACGTACGAACCAACTTCTGTGTGAAAACGTTGCCCCTCAGGTCCCTTTTAAACCTTTCCCCTCTCCCCTCGAGTTTTGAATTCCCCCACCCGAGGGAAAAGACCTTTGCTATTGACCCACCTGTGCCCTTCATGATTTTATAGACTTCGACAAGGTCGTCCCTCAACCTCAGAGACTGCCTGGAAATACCAGGCGCAGTAGGAGGCTCTCATGGCACAGTGGTAGTGTCGCTACCTCTGAGCCAGGAGGCCTGGGTTCAAGTCCCACCTGATGCAGAGGTACGTAATAACACCAGTGAAAAGATTGATTACAAGAAAAATACATTACAGACTACTACACACACACAAACTCCCCACTGCTTGTACCAACTCCCCGACCACACAATAGCCGACGACACCCCACAATGCCTCGATCCACGGCCGACAGTGACTACACGCTGCAGCAAATGCACTTACCCAGCTCAAAAGAGATATCATGTGGAACTGGTACCTTGAGAACCTGGAACAAAGACAAGAGGAACACACCATCAGAGAGTTCCCCCTCACTATGGGCGGCTAGGGGAACGCGGGGTGGGGGCGGCTGGGGGAATGCGGGGTGGGGGCGGCTAGGGGAACGCGGGGTGAAGGAAGGGGCCATCGGTACCCGCGTCCCATCAGCAAAAATGAGACCGGAGATCGCCAGATGGACCTCCTTAGTGTGGCGTCCTCGCTGAGTCCGAGAATCAATCCCAGGTCAAAAGGGTCAGGGGTCAAGGTTCAAGAACAGGACGTAAGCCAAGAGCACAAAGGTCAGGAGGAGAAAGGGGGAGGCGAGCGGGTTGGCAAGGTAGTTCTAGGGTGGCAACAGCCGACCCTTACACCCCCCGGGCACAGAGGGAGAGGACACTCATCCCATTGTTCCTATGCCAAGTCTCGACAAGAACAATCCAAATTTCCACTGAGACCCCAACACCCCCTCGCCCCAACGCCAACCCCGTCACTGGCTCAGTCTTTTCATGGATTTAATTTCAAAAATACAGCACCAGCACAGTGTTAGGTACAGAGTAAGGCTCTCTCTACTCTGTAGCCATCAAACATTCGCAGGCCAGGGACAGCGCGAGGTTAGATACAGAGTAAAGCTCCCTCTACACTGTCCCCCCCCCATCAAACACTCCCAGGGACAGGGACAGCATGGGGTTAGATACAGAGTAAAGCTACCTCTACACTGTCCCCCATCAAACACTCCTGGGGACAGGGACAGCACAGTACAGTAAAGCTCCCTCTACAATATTCTTTAAATGCTTTCCAAAGATATCACACAGGAGGTTCAGTGTGATGGGGGGACACAACTGGAGACAGAAGGAGTTAGGTGACTTTGCTCCCAGCGTTAGGGTAGTGGTTGAAAGAGTAACACTGAATACTGAGGTAAACTTACCGCTCCTCTATCCAGAAAGGTGTGAAAATAATCCACAAACATTCTGCGAGAATCTTTGACATTGGCTCCTTTAAACATCTCCCCATGGAGATAACACAGCTGTTGAAACATCGATGATCAGACGCACTTTAATCCCCAAAACCAAGGGCTCATCCAATTATCATAACCAATTTAACACAACTGATTAAAGACCCAACCCCAACGCCAAGTTCCCCTCAAATACCCCTTCCCAATAAAGTGAGATGTCCACATTAGCCCTCCCCCAGATTAAACCCCTCCACTAGATTCACATCATTGACACCTACCTGCAATTCATCCCTCCAAATTACCCTCCCAAGGTTCACAGCATCAACACTTCCCCAAGTTCCAAACAATTAAATACCCCTCCTCGAGATTCACTTCATAAAGACACAAGATTCACCCTTCCACCAAATGCCCCCTCCTCCAGGTTTGCCCCATCAACACCTCCTCAACATTCACAACCCAACATACCCCTCTTAAAGATTCACCCCATCAACACGTCTGACGTTTGCCCTCAAAAAT